TATTTGAGAAAATGATGGTTGAGATCTGAGATCTCAAACTCCAGGTAGCTCAGCTGAGAGGACAACCATCTGAGGTTCCGGAGGAGGGTGTATACAGGCCTATACCTCCAGATCCGTCACTGCAAGCTGAAGATGAGGGAGATGATGCAGATGAGGCTCAGTATACAGATAAGGATGAGGAGGATAAGGATGAAGAAGAGAGTGGTGAGGATTAGAGATGATGTCTCTTATCTCTGAGTTGTTGAGGAGACATGGTGCTGCTTTTATTGATTATTTATCATGCATCATGACATCATGTTTTGTTTATTATTGCATAACTTATCTATGTTTTGGATATTCTTGGAATATGCTTTCCTAGACTTCATTATGCTTATCCGAATTGTGCTTTAGTTAACTTATTTGACTTGGACTTTACTGTTCTATTATGTTTTTACTCCTTTGTCAATTTGTTACAAAAGGGGGGAGCCCTCATGTAATGTTAAGGGGGAGATAATAGTTTGGGATTTTTGCTTCAGGGGGAGTTCTTACACTTCATTGGTAGTATTGCTTGATAGTATGAAGGAAACAGGTCAAGCATTGCATCCAATAAGACCAGTGGTTCCATTTGTTTTCCTTTAAACACATAATGTAATTTACTTTTCTGCTCTATAGATTGCAAAATTGTTTTTAGGGTTTTGTCATGAAATTGCCAAAGGGGGAGATTGTAAGATATTAATTTATATTTTGGCAATTATCGTAGACAAACCATTCCAAGTTGAGTTGTAATTTAACATACTTGTTTTACAAGTCATAGAGATCAACAGGGACTACAAAATTGGGAAGTGGTTTAAACTTACCATATTTGAAGAGTTTATGAAGAAAAGGGTAAGAACACTATTATATGAAGGAATATGAATAAGGTTGGACATTCTACACCTACTATATTGGTCTAAAATTTTCGTAGAATGAAACAAGGCTGAAAGAATTTAAAAATCCAAGTCTGCCAACCTTGAACCGGTTCAAGCCCTTGAACCGGTTCAAGATGCTCAAGTTTGAGTCACTGCCAAACTTGAATCGGTTCAGCTTCCTTGAATCGGTTCAAGAACTCCTGTTTGTAATACAACTACAGTTTCTTTATTCTGAAGTATTTCCCAGTTGGTCTAGAATTGTACCAAATCCTATGCACAAAATTTACCTTATTTTCAGAGGGATTAGGTCATTATATACTTTATATAAACCATGTCATATACATTGGTTTATTCATGGCTTTTACATTATTATTCAAAGCCTTAGAAAGATAATTTTTCTAGAAAATCAGAGTTAATTTTCTTGATATCTTTCTAGAACATATACACATAAACACAGAGTTTAGAGTTGTGGTGTTCAAATCCTGATCGTGATCATACAGGCGTATTAACATCGATCAGAGGAAGCAGATCTTCTTCGATATCATTCTGACGATTAAAGAACAAAAGTAAACACAGTCACACTTTGAAAAGGTTGGAGCATTCGTGGAATGTTATCTAATCTACCTGCTACTCTTCTACAAATATCAAGTGTAAGTCTAAGGTCGAGTTGCTGTTGGACGGGGAGTCATAAAGCCAGAGGATCGTCAGCGGTTGGTGTGGTATAAGAACGATAGGGTGTGAGTCAGAGTCAAAGTTCGGTATTCCTTGTTTCAAGCATAGTCGATTGGTTTACTTTGGACTACACAAGTCCACGAGGTTTTTCCCATTACAGTTGACGTATTTTATCAACTGGGGTTTCCTCGCTAAAATCCTGGTGTCATCTTTTACTTTATATTTTACTTTATTTGACTGCATGCGATTAATTGTTTAACTGCTAAAATAAGTAAAGTTGATAACGGCACAGATCTGTTTTAAACTTTCCTATATACATTCCGCTACGTACGACTCACAATAACAAGATGTGATAGTATTCTACTCTCAATAAGATTGGTTAATCCCAAGTTCCCAACATTTCTGTTTTAAGAAATCTCTTCAAGAGTCCAATAATAATACATTAATTTCTATGCAAGAGAAACTTGACATCTAATAACAGGCAAATCGCATATGATGATATTTTTCTGCAATTTTTCTAGCATTGAATTTTTATGAAGAACAAAGAAAGAGAATGGTGTACATAAGGATAAGATGTTACTGTTATTGAGAAAAATTGGAGACCAGATTTGGGGTCGTAGAGGTAGAGGAAGACAGACTTGTAATTAATAACACATTTAAAGCTAATAAGGACAACATATAGGGTCAAATTTGTAAAAAAATATATTAATTACTTAAAACGTGATTTTGCTCCTGAAAGGCCATCTATAAAGCAAGTTGCTGTTGGTGTTGGACGGGGAGTCGCAAAGCCAGAGGATCGTCAGCGGTTGGTGTGGTATAAGAACGATAGGGTGTGAGTCAGAGTCAAAGTTCGGTATTCTTTGTTTCATGCATAGTCGATTGGTTTACTTTGGATTGCACAAGTCCACGAGGTTTTTCCCATTACAGTTGACTTATTTTATCAACTGGGGTTTCCTCGCTAAAATCCTGGTGTCATCTTTTACTTTATACTTTGCTTTATTTGACTGCATGCGATTAATTGTTTAACTGCTAAAATAAGTAAAGTTGATAACGGCACAGATCTGTTTTAAACTTTCCTATATACATTCCGCTGCGTACGACTCACAATAACAGGATGTGATAGTATTCTACTCTCAATAAGATTGGTTAATCCCAAGTTCCCAACATTTCTGTTTCAAGAAATCTCTTCAAGAGTCCAACAATAATACATTAATTTCTATGCAAGAGAAACTTGACATCCAATAACAGGCAAATCGCATATGATGATATTTTTCTGCAATTTTTCTAGCACTGAATTTTTATGAAGAACAAAGAGAGAGAATGGTGTACATCAGGATAAGATGTTACTGTTATTGAGAAAAATTGGAGACCAGATTTGGGATCGTAGAGGTAGAGGAAGACAGACTTGTAATTAATAACACATTTAAGGCTAATAAGGACAACATATAGGGTCAAATTTGTAAAAAAAATATATTAATTACTTAAAACGTGATTTTGCTCCTGAAAGGCCATCTATAAAGCAAGTTTTTGTAGCTTCGGTTGAATAGGCTTTTAGACCACTACACTTATTCTGTATGCCCGTTTAAGAAATTTGACAAACACAATTTTTTTTTAGAATGACTTTTTTTGGCTTGGAAGTCCGTTTTGGAGCTCCACGAAACACAACAAACAGGGCCTAAATTTTTAGAGTAGTTGGAAAACTGAAACATGAAAAATTAAAAAAGTTTCAAATTATAAAATTTTTAAACAGTTATTCATGAAATGTCGTGTCCGACACGGACTGTGTACTACTTTCCTTGTAATTAAATGATTTTGATGTACAATTCAAGCTAAGTATAAGAATACTTCATTTATTTTATTCAGTAATGTAGACGTTGACAACTAATATGTTTCACAATTGGAGGAGCCAAAGGTGGCATTGAGGATCCACGTACATATGATAATGCTATTGATGTCAAACTCAAGCTGACTCACTATGTCCGTCGCCTAGTGATAAAAACTTGGAATGGTGAAAAGATGATCAATTCTTGGCAGGTTCTTCTGTTTCTTTCACAAATCAATGCAAACTAAATTTATTAAAGACTGATGGGTACCAATTACATCCAACAGACGGTTTGAACTCCGTTTATTACTAGGTAAAATATCATTCTTAAAAAAACCCTCTCTAACAATGTTTTTTTATCATTAATAAATCAAGCAGCAAACAACACGCCGCCACTACTCTTAATTATTCAGCATTTAGTAAATTTCAAAAATCATTCTAATCCAATAGTTAATAAAAATAAAAATAAATAGTTTATATAAGGTTCTGTTGATAACTTTGCCCTATAATACACACATATATGTATTTGCCACTTCATACTACTGAAATGTAAATTTGTCTATTCAGGAATCATACAATTAATATGAATAATTGTATTAAATTAACAATATAGAGCTATCTGACATTATGGAAATCTTCACATATATTATTATATATCTTAGTAACTTAGGCCATCGGCAATGACCTCGTCAAAGGCCTTTCTGGCAAGAAAGTGAGAGTTTCTTGGTATTGCTCACGGTATCTGATGATGAGTCCAGCTATCGCCAAAGGGATTGTGTCCATTCTTTTTTTAAATTTTTTTTTTTTTTTTACCTTGGTCCAATAGATCGACGGTCCAAAATATTTTGAATTTTGGGCAATGGTCATAAGGCCTTGTTTGGCAGACCACTTTTCAAAACCTTTTAAGCCAATATTTTTGTATGAGTAATGATACTCTGTCCGATCAAATTGAAAATAAATACTTAAATCGTGTAATTGTCATGTAATTACCTAAATCATTATATTTACTTTGCGCTAAATAAATATGAAAAGAAGTTGAAGAGGTTTTGACGATTCCTCTCTGTCTCTCTGATTTCTTCACAGTGGTATCTTCGTTCTGCTGCTTATTTCATTCTTTCTCTTTCCAATTCACTGTGAAACAAAACATTATTCTCATTCAAAAATTTAAAGTTGGAGGCATGATTTGGAAGATGCTAATGTTGAGATCTGTGAAGAGGATGAGAATAGGACTCATCCATTATATTATTGGCTGGAGTTATCTTCTTCTTGGCAACACAGAACTACTTTCAAGTTAAATTGGAAATCTATAATGTACAAATGAAATATGAAAATTCCATTCAGGCTTAGATTTAGATATAATATTTATGTTCCTTTATGACTGCAAACAGTTGAATTTCTATGGATGTTTGGTAATATTTTTGTTTTTAAATCTCTCTTTTTGGTGAACCTTAAAAGACTGATAAATGGATGAATATGTTTGCTGTTAAAAAGTTAATGTTTTCATTGTCTTCAACTTTTCCTTATATATTGGTAAATAATAAATATAATGGAAATAGAATTAATGAATGTTTAAATACTGCTATTGAAAATATTTGTTCCATTGATAACTTTTTGGGTTCAAATGCAGGGTACCTGGAAGCAGCAACCTAAACTCCTTCACCATCTTTGGTGCTCTTAGAAGAATGGACGATCACTTTGCTTACCGAAAATGCCAGGACCATATGTCGAAGAGATCACATCCACTAGTAGGGGGAATTGTAAGGAATCAAATAAGATCACTGGTAAACAGGCTAATGCAGCCACTGGAATAAGAATCCATCCTTTTCTGTGGCCAAACACAAGACAGAGCGTGTATTGAGAGGAACAAGGTAACAAGACCGATTATCAACCTTTTCGGTAGACTGTAGAGAAAATCTTGTTCTGCATAGCGTGATGTAAGGATGGACAAGAACATTAACAAGGAAGCTGTGGATGTGAAGAGAGATATTGCATCTGACACTGCAAATATAATGAAGCCAATTTGTTTGGAAAACATTGGGAGGCCAACTGCATTGTTGCCACCTGGTACAGTAATAGCTGCTGCAAATACTACAGTGGCAATGAGTGCTGCTGCAATTGTGCATGAATTTGCTGTCTCTTTCATCCATTTCTCTCCTCCTCTTACCAAGTCCTCGTGTTCCTCACTAAATACCATTGCTGGAGTTTTTTTAGCATTGTTTTCCATTTCTTTGTAGGCTGGGATAACAAACTTCTCCACTTCCCGTATGATAGCCATAACTTCAAAACAATGGACAACTTTGATATGCTTCTTATATGAAGTGGAATGTCAAATTTTGAAAATTAATTTTTTATACACAATTCAATTAAAGTGAAAAATGATTTTGGGGCTAAAAAATTCACGCAAAAAAGGGAACCACCATTAAAAACAAGAGAAATGAGTTTGATCGCTGCATCTGCAGAGCAGCACCTGAAACAAGATTGAGTTTATGTGGAGGCGCCAACTTTCCGGCCAAGTGCAATATTGTGTTATTAAAATGGTCTCTAAAGCGTGTTATATACTGCTTATGCTCACTCATCTGACAGATGAGGTTGAAGACATTTTCATTACGGTTTATAATTGCAATTTGAAAAATGTAACGACCATCTGCATCACAGTACCAAGTTGAATCGGGAATTGTATCCACAAGTTCTTCTGAAACCTCATGAGTACCCATCCTTGCTGACTCATCACTCAAAAAATGCATTCTCGAAGAATTGCCCGGCTCCGTAGTAATCACTAAATGAATACATTCCTTGGCACAAGCATTTGACGAGTTGAAGAGCTTGAAGATGCCTCAAATTTTCCTCTCAAATGTGCTTGATAGGAGTTCCTGCAATTCAGATAGTAAATAAAGGATGTTACATGCTTCAATTGAAACTATGTGCACCTAAATGGAAACTTGTTGTGTCTCACCTAATTCCATCCCTTTGGCAAGTAGGACATGCAATTTTGTCCTTTGACAGTTGTCTGCTGGATTCTCAATGTCACCAGCATTTGGATTGTTAAGAGTAGTTCTCCAACCTCACAGGAACACCTTCCAGACAAAATGTATATACAGAAAATTAACTGAGGACACACTTATAGCTTCCACTTTTAATCAAATTGTTAGAAAATCCTTTGACCAGTCTACTTCTTATTAAAAAAAAAAACCAAAAAAACAAAAAAAAAAAAAAAAAACCAAAAAAACTAAGGTAACTATGACACCATATATTGTGAAAATTGATTCACAGTCGTACCCTTAATTGTTGTTGGTAAAAGTAATTAAGATTGCAAATGTATAGAAAAGAAGAAAGCACTGGACTGGAGAAATTAACTAACGAGAATAGATGAAACGCTGCCAAAAGTTGAGGCTACATCCACTTGGAAATGCAGATGGCTTTTTGGTTATTGCTAGCAGAGGATAATCACCATTATCAAGTTTCATGAATGTAGCCAAATCAGGGTGGGATTGAACCAAATCCAGGGCCACGTCTGTAAAAGTACAATAATAAATTACCTAATCATCAGATCATACCACATCAAGTACTGACTGATATGTATATTTATATATATACATGATCTAAATTAGAAATAGTAGTACTAGCCTACTAGGCACTAGGTAGCTAGAAGAGAATAAGTTAATTAAGGTAGCTTACTGACCTAAAAATCCAAAATATATTACATGAACCAGAAGCTGAACACCTGCATATTGATCTGCAAATGGAGTGGGATGGTGATAGTGTATGGTTGTGGCCTTCATTAAATATAAAAGCGTTTCCTTGTGCGCATACAAAGCAGCCAAGTGGATTGGAAACAAACCGTCGTTCTTCATTTGAAGCAATGCTGGTTTTTTGTCCACCAATATCATTGCGGCCTTTGTGTTGCCCAACCTGGCTGCAGTGATGAGGGCTGTCTCGCTTGGATAGTTATGTATAGCAAGTGCCTCCCATGGCATTAGTTCTACCAACTTCTCCACAAAATGAATTGCTTTACCTGTCCCAACTGCTCTGTGTAGTAGTGTTTCGTTGTTTGCAGTGACATAGGCTGTCAATGCATGATGCATCTTCATCTTGTGCCAGCAATCTTTTCGCACTCTCCTAGTCGCCTTTCATTGTAGCTTTGTACACCGGCAGGTACCTTCTCAAGTCTAATTCATTTCATGCATGTACAAATCACAATTAATTAGATCATTTAATTAGGTAATTTAGATCAAATGGAAATCCAACTTTTTTTCAGCACCCATATATTGTTTCCCCACTTTATATCTCATTTTTTTCGTCTTATAAATATGCATATATATCATCAACCACCGGGATAATATTTATATTTTCCAAACAAACAGCTTCACTTTTTAGGAGTTAACAATTCAAGCTAACAATATTTACTTTAGAACAAGTTGACTACTTTAGCTCAAGTTTAAAATTACTCAATGACAATTTGACATCCCATTTAGTTTCTATCATTTTACATTCATACATGCATGTGCTTCACGATAAATAGTACTATAGTCTATAATGTACTCAAATTAAAACTAATAAACAAACAACATTTTACTTAATTATCAAAAACAAAACAAAACAAAAAAAAAAAACTTTTTGGTTTCTCAATTGATGTTTAATTTTAGACAGCAGAGGTATGTCAGAAACCTTACCAGGCGTTCCACCGCTCAAGTCACACTGATATCGGTGTGAGACTGTTGTTTTGAGATGGAAGATGATGTCATTCTAATTCACAAGTGGTGATCAATCAGTACTATATATATGTATATATAGATATGTATGTGTATATGCTGATAGATATTATTACTATATATTAATGTGATGCATATGCCCTTAATTGTTTGATGAGGGAATTTGATAAGTAATATGAAGCACTTTGCTACAAACCTACATAGAGAGCACGCGCGCACATATAAATATATCATTATCAGTCAAGATGCATGTGCCCTTAATTAGTGCCATCCCATCGTTTTGGAGAATCAAACTGATCAACTGTTGGACGTAATGCACCACGGTCCACAGAGATGTGTTCCTTTGCAACACCTTGATTCATGGTTATGCCGAATCAGGTCCTTGTGAATTTTTTATAGTTTTCTGCTATAAAAAATCCCTTTAGAATGAAGATGCCCTTATAGCTATTGCTCTGACGTTCCCCACTAAACTCTTCTTATCAACAAAACTCATCACCTTAGCTTCCTGCCAAGCCACCTCCATGGACTATGCCCGTAAACTGTTCGACATAATGCAACACAGAGATGTGTTCCTTTGGAACTCCTTGATTCGTGGTTATGCCCATTTGGGTCCTTGCGAAGAAGCTATAATTCTTTATAGAAACATGCATGGGCTCTTATCCGACAACTATACTTTCCCTTTTGTGGTTCAGTCTTGTGCAGTGCTCTCGGCTTTACAAGAAGGAAAGGAAGTGCATTGTAAATCAAGATGCGTGAAAAAAAAGCCCTTGAACACTATTGGTATGCTTCATTTCAATTAGGGCTGCAACTTGAGCGAGCGAACCCAGCCCAACCCGAAAATTTGAAATTTGGGCTTTAAGTTTACAAATTGGGTTCATGTTCGGGTTGATTTTTGTCAAAACCCAGACATATTCGGGTTGGGCTCGGGCTCAACCCGAACCTAATCCAAAATTAAAAAAAAAATATTCATTTTTCTCTCCCCTCCCTCTTTCTCTCTCTACCGTCGTCCCCGTACATTCAAGTTAGCAGTTGCAAAGAGAGAGAGGGGGGCAAGCTTGAGAGTTGAGAGACAGTGGCAGAAGCTTGTGAACAGCAAACCCGAACTAGAACAGCGGGCGATGGAAACTGAAAGATCTGGGTTTTGATTTTTGATTTTTGCAGTTGAACTTTTGATTCTTGCAGATCTGGGTTTTGATTCTTGCAGCGGGCGATATGGGTTTTGAACTTTTGATTTTTGCAGCCAGAGAAATAAAACTGAAATATATAGGTTTTGAACTTTTGATTCTTGCAGTTGGGTTTTGATTCTTGCAAATCTGGGTTTTGATTCTTGCGGCGGGCGATATGGGTTTTGATTCTTGCAGTTGGGTTTTGATTCTTGCAGATCTAGGTTTTGAAAGATCTGGGTTTTGATTCTTACAGCGGGCGATATGGGTTTTGAACTTTTGATTCTTGCAGACAGATAGATAAAACTGAAATATATGGGTTTTGAAGTTCTGATTCTTGTAAATTTTGTAGTTTGTAGTTGCACAGAGAAAGAGAGACAGAGGAGGGGGGAAGTTCAGAGAGAATAGAGATGGAGGCGAATGGGGAGGCTAAAATGATTTGCCCTAAATAAAATATATAATATATAGATTTATATAGGTATATATAATTTATTTTTTAATAATAATATAATCAAATATAATATATATATATATATATATATATATATATATATATAAATTTCCGGGAAAAAAAAAAAAAAAAAACAATCTCAACCAGTCAACCCGACCCAACCCACCTAAAAATATTCGGGCTGGGTTATGACCATAACCCATGTTAGGTATAATTCGGGCTGGCCCAACCCAACCCGATTCTGGTTGAGGTTGGGTTGGGACTGGGCTGGGTTCGGCCTAACTTGCAACCCTAATTTCAATCGGTGGCCCCGTTGAAAAAAAAAAACTTGAACACACTACTAATAACAATAATGGGTGGCCTAGTTGTAACGGGTTAACCCGGTGAACCATAAACCCATGCATTTGGGTTCCACTTAACTTAATTGATGCGTGTAGTTTGAGGGGATTTAAATTTGTTCAAACAGAATTTTTGGTTACAATGTGGAATTCGGAATTACAAAAGAGTTTTTCGCTGAAATGAATGTGAGAAATATAGTTGAAAAAATTACAAATACATTTTTTTTTTTTTTAACTAGCAATAAACAACAGCCAAACGAACACTTACAAAGAAAACACAGAAGGAGTACCCACATAACCAAAATAGAACTAACTGTTGATTATGGCAGATGTGGGTTGGCAGACGTGAGTCAGACGTGGGTCTGCCACTACCCCTTATTACCACGTTTTATTGGCTCAAAGTATAGTGGTTTAGGATACTCTGCCACTCTCGTTGTTTTGTCAGACGTGGTCAGACGTGGGTTTGTGACATGGGTTATTATTTTGGCAAACGTGGTCAAAGGTGGGTCTGCAAAGTGGGTTACTGTTTTGGCAGACGTTGCCAGACTTGGGTCTGCCACCATCCTTGTTATCAGCTCTCCACTATCG